ATTAGCTTCATAAAGGCTTGTACTCTTGAAATTAGTCTCTGTTCCATACTGTTCAAATAGAATAGTTCTGGTGTGATTTCATCTACATGCATATTATTGATTGTAGGAAATGGAGGGATTTTCACTTTTTTATAAAAGCCATACATCTACTACAAATATGAACACTACCTTTACTTCTTCTTTAGGTAATAAGGTTGATAATTGTGTATCATTAATACATGCATGATAATGCTGTTGTAATACATCATGTACTTTACTCACATCAACCAATGATACACCTTTTGGGTAGCACAGACGCTCACATGTACAGCATATGCTGGTAGAAGACAATTGTATTTCTTTTTCAAATTTATCGAGGTCTTTTCTTGAATGTTGTTGTTGAAGTATACCTTCAGGAGAGGGAGCTGTGCGTGTCAGGTTAGCTAATAATTGCCTAGCATACTCCTCATTCTTTCATTTCTTTAAGCTCTTTGCTCTTCAGTTTCTGAATCTCTTCTTTCACGATCTCTTTGACGAAGCTCGAAAAGGCGCACTTCTTGTTCCAACTCAGATTCACTTGCCAGCTTCGTTGTAATCTTTGAGTTAGGTCACTAAGTCATGCTTCTGACTCATTGGCACATTGTTGCTGAGATCTCTGCCTCTGGTCATCAAGACATGCTTCTCTCTGAGCTTCTAACTCATTGGCACATTGTTGCTGAGATCTCTGCCTCAGATCATCAAGACGTGATTCTCTCTGAGCTTCTGACTCGTTGGCTCATCATTGCTGAGATCTCTGCCTCTGGTCATCAAGACGTGATTCTCTCTGATCTTCTGACTCGTTGGCACATCGTTGCTGAGATCTCTGTGTCTGGTCGTAAAGACGTGATTCTCTCTGAGCTTCTGACTCGTTGGCACATCGTTACTCCGATTTTAGTCCTTCATCATTTAGGCGAGATTCTCTTTGAGATGGGGATTCATTCTCTATGGATCTCTTCATTCTTGCAAATTCCCTCATCTGTCTCAACCTGTCTTTTGGTATCATAGATTCTTTTGATTTCTGTGCCCTTTTCTTTTCTGTATAATACTTGGTGCGAACCTTTTTGCTGTTGCTAACATCTTGTAGTGGTACACGCCACTTAAGGCTCCAGAAAGAGTCATTCCTCTTTTGCTTTTTGTATGGCGATGCTGTTGTAGTGCTTGTAGTTTGTGTATTTTGTTGTTTTGTGGACTCTAACATCCATTGGGGTAATATTCCCTTCTAAGGTAGTCTTCAAACAGAAGTTTCCATCTTAGAAAACTATTGAAACTGCATCTTACAATTTTTGTTGCTTAGTTATAAAGGCTTTTCAGTAGGGCGTGGCTTGTTTTGATTGGTCAGTTCTTTAATTATTATTGACCTATTAATTATTATTATTAGCCAATAATTATTATTTTGGCTCCTAATTTTATTAATTACAACGGCTGCATTCACTGATTTCAAGGGATTTGAGTGAATAAAACAGTTGTTAAAATGGACTCTGAAGATGAAGAATTTTTTAGCTTTACTTTATGATGTAAATGTTTGAATTACAGTTAAATTTAGTTATAAATCTTTAATAGGATCCAATGAACTCTGATGACAAGCCCAGCAACCAACCACGAAGAGGGAGAAGACTACCCCTAAGACCACCTAGACCTCTGATACCACAGCCAAAACTTAATGATCGCGATGAGGAGAGGCATCGCTATGAGGAGTGGGATTAGGAAGTAGCTGACGGTGGAGCCTGAAGTCGTGGTAGGGGCACAGCCGAGAGAGGACTGGGAGCTGCAGGAAAAGGAGCAGGAAGTGGTGATAGAGGTGATGGGGGCCTCCTGATCATCGTAGACCTGAGGGCCGAGGTGGGAGAGGAAGGGGAAAGCGGGGCAGGCCAGGACATCGAGCTGGAACTGCTAGAAGGTGGCAGTCCCCTCAGCCTCAGAGACTCAACGCTCAGCCTCATTACCAAACAGGAGGAAGGGGAGAGAGAGGAAGAGGTGGGAGAGGAAGGAGAGGAAGGGGAGGGAGAGGAACAGGACCTGGAAGAAGGTGGCAAGGACAGCCTTCGCAATTAGATAGACTCTTAGATCTAATAGAACTAATAATTAAAAACCACTAAAAGTACTCAGTATTATGAAGCCTATGTATATCATATCCATGTATCTGTAGTCACTCATTTATTTATTTATTTAATAATAATAGCATCATATAATATTATACAATGTTTCAATCATGTTCGCCAGTTGAGGCATGGATGAGTGTGGATG